AATATAATTATATTTTGTAAGATTTTTATTTTCTTTTTTTTTTCTTTTTTTTTTCTTTTTTTGTTTTGTTTTTCTTTTATTTAATTTTACATAATCTACCTTTTCTATTTCTTAATTTTTCATTATATCAACGTGCATATATACATTTCCTTTTACTTGTTTTTTTTTTTCGAATATTTTACTTACAAACTCAAGCCTCTTAAAATTCAATGGAATATTTGCCTTTCGTATTTCTAACATCAACGTATATAACATATATCAAAAATTAAATATTCAATGTCATTATTTTCAAAGAACACACATACACACGTATTTATCCTATTAAGTTCAATGTCAAATCTAAAGTATAAAAGTTTAACTCGCACCTTTGGTTTTTAAAATTACTCTTCTGAAAGTGTTATTGAAACATAGTCTATCGTGTCGGTGACGTTAATCGTTCATAAATAAATTTTCACGCGTATCATTTCATTTTGCCTTTTTTCTTCCTTGTTCTTATTTTGATTTACTTCTTATTTTCTGTGTTCTTTTCTTTTCTTTTTTTTTTTTCGTTTGTTTTTTATCTCTCGCGTTGCTTCTTTCTTTCTTTTCTTCTCTTTCCTTTCATCTCACCATTTTTAATATATCTATTTAACGAGTGTAGGAAAAATTTGAGGGCAAAAATAATTCGTCTCTTGGTAATACGACGAAAGAGGCGCAGGTGCATGTTGCAGCAGTGAAAGTATCCGAGTGCAGCAACGATCTAACATCTGTCAATGCCCTCTTGCATAGACAGTCTTACTTTAGCGGTGCCATTTAGTAGGTATCCGCGATTTGTGAGATACTCGTCGAAATAGACAACGGAATTATCACCATCATCATCATCATCATCATCATCATCAGCAGCAGCATTATTTATCGTCATCGTCGTTATCGTCGTTGTCGTCGTTATTGTGAAAAAAAAGAAAAAAAAAAAAAACAAATTCTTCTTCTTGGCAAAAATTTTTTCAAATAAAAATTTCTTACAAAAATTTCTTGTGAAGAAAAAGAAAAGAGAGAGAGAAAGAGAGAGAGAGAAAAGATAGTAAAGATAGGAGGAAAGAAAGAAAGAAAAAAAAAAAGAGAAGAAAAAAAAGGATTAAAGGATAAAAGAATATAAAATGTCGAATAAAAATCAACTTATAGGATTCCTATTTGTTATGAATATTATGACGATAATTTCAACGGAATCAAGCCGTAAGTAATTTGATTGACTCTCGTAATTTGATCAACGAGTTAGTATACTTCCGTGTGGACACGATTGAAAAGTACGTTCTATGTCTCGTTTAAGGAAAATCGGAGAAAGTTTAAATCAGGATAGTTAGATAGAGATAGAGGATAGAGATAAATATAGAGATAGACAGAGATAGAGAGAAAGAGAGAGAGAGAGAGAGATTTGAGAATTTATCTTTTAAATTAGACTTCACCAATTTTAACCAATAATATGAAAATCATATTAATCATTTTATAAACATTCCTTTAAATCTTATTAACATTTAATATATTCATATTTGTATGATCGATTATAAATTAAAGTTATATATTTTTTACAATAAAAGAGTATGTATATATATATATATATATATATATATACATGAAACATTTATCATATTATTCTTAGACATTAATCTTTCTAAATATGGACTAGCAATTAATTTTATGAAAAAGAAAAAAAAAAAAAAAAAAAAAAAAAAGAAAGAAAATACAAACGTAATAAAGAAATTAACTTAATAAAATAAAAATATGAATATAATTAATATATGAATTTTTTTACATGTTATTACATGTGGAATTTAAAAAAAGAACAATTATATATAAACAAATCGATTTATATTAAAATTCTTTGGATTGTATTAATTTAATATAAATACAAATAAAAGAAAAATCAAAAAAAAAAAAAAAAAAAGAAAGAAAAAAGAAAAAAAATTCTTTCTAGCCGAGTACGTGAAGCAATGTTCTAGGAAGGATCCTAAATTAAAAAGTTGCCTGATCGATTCTCTACATCATCTTAAACCTTATTTAAAAGATGGCATACCAGAAATTGAATTACCTTCCGTCGAACCTTTTCGTGTGAGTATATAATGAAATAAGTAAATAAAAAAAAAAAAAACAAAAAAGGAAATAAATAAATAAATAAATAAATAAAATAAAAAACAAAAAAGAAAAAGGAAAAGGACAACAAAAAAAAAAAATAATACAGATCGACATCTTTCTTTTTAATATTGTATTTATTTAAGTTCTTTTTTGTTTGTTTTTTTTTTCTTTTTGCAAAAGACCAAAGAAAAATAAGAAAGAATTTTACTTTAATATTCTACAATGTAAATGGAACGAACATCGTTTCCTTTCAACAGATGGATGAGCTGACTCTCTCTCTGACAGGTGGTACAAACGGTTACAAGGTTCAATTGCGAGAACTCTATGTAAGGGGAGCGAGTAACTATACAGTCGAGGACATCCAACTAGGTTCACCCTTCGAAGCTGTCAT